CGCCCGTAAAAACGGTCTCGTTGTGGTTGTGAGAGATAGCGTAATTTTCGCTTGCGCGCTATCTGGTTTTCTTTGAAAGCTGTACATTTCAACTACGGAATTCACTTAAATTTTACCGGCAATCTTTAAAACGTTTGCTATTGTGAGCATCAATGCGATGACATTATTACGCGCTTATTAACTTTTATCGCGTACAAAATTATATTCTTTTACGTTTTCTTTTTTTTTTTTTTTTTTTTTTTTTTTTTTTTTTTTAATTTACATCAAGAGTCGAACGTGCGTGAAGCAAATCGCATCCGCCGCTAGTCGGCCGAAGTGCATCAGCGCGAGTTAATCGCACCGCGGGCGTCGTTTCATTTTTAATCGTCGGGATATTTTTCCCCGGGGAGAGATAGATCCCATTATGACTCCATTACGAGTTGCGGCGAATCACGAAATATCCGCGTATTTATTTAAAACAAGACTCGTGCCACGATAATATGCGTTTTCAATTCGTGCCGGTTAAATCGCGTGAGTTTACCGCCAAGCGCTATTTCGCGCGTGTTTTTCTTATCGCACTCGCGCTACTAAAACATATTTCCAGCTGAAATTCTTATTGTTTCTTGGTACATTTCTCGGCGAAACCAGCGTAAATCCGATATCGAGCAATCACGAGAACGCGTATCTGACGAACGACCGTTTTTCCCGCATCTTCACCTCTGTCCCTCCCCTCGTATTCACTTGTATCTCTTCTACTACTCGATTATTAATGTTACTACCTATCTCTCTCTCTCTCTCTCTTTCTCTCTCTTTCTCTCTTTCTTCCTCTTCTCGATGTACTCGTATCGACAGTGTAGCACACAGAGTGGAAAGAAACTCCTTGAATATTCACTTGTGCACGAACCGCAAAACCACCACCCCGAATGCTCCGCCATGGTTGTTGCATTGATGCTAGTTTTTGGACGAACACGTTTTCCTCCTTCCTTCTTTTTATACGTATATATACATGTCGTTTCCTCCTTAGGGCACGCATATATGTCGATGTTTTTTCGCCTGATTAGTCAATCCTTCAGCTGTTTAGGGAGTTCTCGTTTCGGGCGAGAGTCGATTTGTGGCCGGAAACAATCGCATGGATTTCTGCTAGCTGTTTTCCATTAAATTCCAAAATCAATTCAAACTCAACACATAAAATTCATAATGAATCGACGATTTTTTTCATTATTTCGATATAACAATAATAATATATTAAAATTTGAAAAGTTTAGAAATTTTTAAAAAAATATTGTCGACGGTTACTCCGTGAAGAAATAAAACAGTCGAAACATACGAAATGAAAACACTCGAGTTCGAACAATATTTCAGATGGAGAGCTAATATTTAATTCGTAGGCTTATTGGTTTCCGATTAAATTATTCGTATTTCCATACGATAGCGCGGAATTTACAACACACGGTTTGACGGCAAAGTTCCGCTATCGCGAAAATTATACCGATTGATGCGCGTGAAATGTAGTATAATTTCAAATGGCAAACAGTTCGATTAAACTTGCAACAGCGTTATTCAACGTTTTCATTGTACACGAGTGTAATCTCTCGGTTCTTTGGTGGACGCGTTATCGTTGGAAGCGTATTTCCATAAATTTGAATTTCCTCCGGGCTGGCGGCGCATCGGGCGATCTGCCACCGCGTGCGCAGTCGATTAATTAATAGCCGTTAATTGGCGTGTCACGCGCACTCGTAAAATTCGGCCGAAGACAGCGGTTCGTTCTGGTCCGACTGGCTTTTAAATTCGCATTTGGGATGAATCGATTGTGGTCGGCCGTGCGCGTAACGAAGTCGGAGTATCAAGCACCCAAAACGGTTTTCGAAAATGTGCCATCTCTGATTTAAAGTGAAAAAAGAAAAATTAATGTGAATGTTGTCGATATTATAGAAACACTAGCAATGCGGATAATTCTGCGCCACAGATCACGCGAGCCTGCAGGAAAATGGAGTCTGCGATTGCGGTTTGTGTAACACACGGTCCCATTATAAACCACCCTCTTCTTTTTGGAATGCGCCTGCTATTTCTGCATCACGCTCTTGACCCGCCTTTAGATAACCGGCGATCGAGCCGACTATTAACCACCCACGTCGTGTTGATCGTGTTAACTTTCGTTTGGTTTGCGCTAACATTCACGCGCGTTACATGCACAGTAGGTAGTTGTCTGTTGAGGATGCTGTTGATGTGCCGCTCGTATACGATTGAACCCACTAGCCTAACAACAGTGCATACATCTATTATACCTTGTGTATAATTTTTATTATTAACACTTTGAAGAGATATAAATTTGTGATTATTTTATTCATATAAGAAAGTATACGTAAAATAATTTTATTTTACTTCCAAATCGTCTGCTCTTCTATAGAAGTAGAAATAAGAGCATGTTCTGCAAAAAGATTTCGTAAAAAATTTTGTTTAGCTACTTGATTTTGTGCGGAGAAATTAAGCATATATTTTCGTGATACAAAGAAAGCACTAATTGGAGTGAACAAATTTTGAATGCACTTGAAAATATTTCTAAGAAACAAAAAAACAATTACAAGTAAAATAACCACTTTTTAACGAATATTCATTCTCTTCAAGGTGAATATTATTCAAAGCGAATTGTATAAATGAGAGAAAGCACTTGTTGAATCGCTCAGCAGCTGATCCGAACGAGATGACTTGGTGCCGATGAAAAGGTAGGCAGTTTTTATTGCTCCGTCTTGGACCAACCGAAGATAAAAAGGCTTCTTCACTGAATTTGTTTTTCCGACTTTTTTTTCTCCCTTGTCGAGAATCTGTCGATAACTCAACGTCATTTGTCGTCTCCGTCAGAACAACGGGTATTCATTAAAGTCAACATCCATCCATCAAGGTTACCTATTCGTAATCGATCTTTCAGAGTCATATCATCTATCAGCGCTAAAAACATAAATTAAGAAATATTTCAAAATTACAATCTGCCACGATAGCCCGATAAATTATTGGCCACATTATCTGGAAAATTGCAACCGTTGTTTAGTGATATCGATAAACCGATTTAGGTGATTTTACCATTTTTGCAATATCAACATTCTGTTTATATTTCTGCAATAACTGCAATATTTTTGCAATTTCGAGAAGTATCTCAGCATTTCTGAAAAATATTAAACCGTCATCCAACTGCAAGTGTATTCCTAATCAAGGAGATTTATCTTCTTGCTTCCGATATGTTTCTTCGTTACTTTCGCAAATTTCGGTTTTTCATCGTTTTGCAATGCGCAAGTGTGTAATAATAGTTTTTTTCTTGCTCTGAAAATACAGAGGTCGATTAATATTTCCACAACCTCGTCGAAATTCAGCAAGCGAAGCTCGCTGCCGCGAATTTGAAATGCATAACTGACGGCAAGAAAGCCCAGGCAGCCGCGTTGTGCATCGTCAGCTCCCCCGGATCTGCGCATCGCGCGCCGTGGCCTTTCTTCCCTCTTTCGAAGTCGAGCGTCGATCATGCAACCGCGGTTGCTCCGCAATGTGGACGGATCGAGTCGACATTCACGTCGTCAACCATTCAGCTTCATCGCGAAAATATTCCTTTCGGAACTTCCGCATAGAGACGAAGCAAATAGACGATCGTCCTTGCAAAATATCCTGTATTGGCATTGCCTATTTCGCGATCTTCGCACCTCTCCTTTTCATCGCCTTCTCGATTTCGTCAGATGTTCGCGAAAATCTCGGTTTTTCATCAGCCGAATACAGTCGACGCAGCCGCCAACACTGCTCTTCGAGGCATTGACGATTTTGAATCGCGAGCACGACGAGCACTGCCGCTTTAAAACGTGCGAATGCGCTACGCGCGGAAATCAGTCGTCTATTTATGTCGAAAGAAACTGCGGCAGAAACTCGTTCCGATGATAAAAATTGATCGACTTGCGAAAGAATATTTTCTTCGGAATGAACTTTGTTTCCCGAAGTTGCAGCCATTTCTTCCGCTTCAAGTCACTCCTGAGTGTCAACCGCAGGCAGTGCAGAGACGATGGTTTCTCTATTTTCGGTTCTCCAAAGTCGATCGCTTCGCATTTCTCTATCCTCGCCACTTTCTCTTTTTCTTTTTTCGCCGTCGGCTTGTGTTTTTCGCGTTTGTATTTACTTCTCGAGCACAATCTCTTAAAGTCAATTCTTGACAAAAGAGTAAAATTTTCTGCTCGTGCTACAGTTTTCTCACGTCAAAGGCAGAAGTCAAATATGTTTGTCGATGAATCGTGCTTGTTTTTTGCATTAAAAGTCAGGGATCTCTTATTCCATCTATAAATTATCGTTTCCTTTCTTTCTTAAAGCGTTCATTGTATGTACATTTCAAAAGTATTAAATTTTATCATAAATTTTTTGATAAAATTTAATTCGATTTTTGATAATAAAAATTGAGAGAACTTGACGGACTTCTTAATTAACTAAATTTTTGAAATATAGACGAAAAACGAAATCTTATTTCTTAAAAATCTGTACGAAAGAGAATATAAATCTTGTCCATAAAATACATTTCATATATATTTAGTTAAAAAATAAAGAAAGTAAATTTTTATCTGCCAAGAAATGCTATCGTTGAAATTTGAAATCATGAAGGTGCGATAGTTCACGGATGGAAAAGGGAAATTCAATCAAATAATTTTAGACCGATTTCGCGCTACGAGTTTGTCGAATTAATTGGTCAGTGAATAAGAATTTTTCGGAACGCGTCGGAAAATTTTTATCCCGCCAAATTCCCCGTTCAACGGTGAATTTTCGAAACGCTCGAAACCAACTCCCAAGCGGAATACCGCCCTTTTATTTATCGACGGATCGAAATGAAGCCGGGCGAAACCCCCGTCTCGCTGTAGCTGTCGACGTGCGCCGCGGTTCCCCGAAGTGCAACCTGGCGTCCTGATGATGCGATGGCCGATAGCGACGTATAAGACCTCCCCGAGGTAGGCGACCTTTGCGTGTAATTGGCATGTGCGCGCGTATCGCGTGTGTTGTTCCAGCCGCGGCACTTAGAGGAGTCGCCATACAGCGCGGCCGAGTTGGAGCGGCGAGAGCAGCATTCCCGACTGGTGCAGCCGCACTAGCCCTAGCCAGGAATCCTGGGCCACTCGCAGCCGCAGCTGCGGCCACGGCCTTGCATCCCTTCGCACCCACGTAAGTATCGGCCCGGTCCGGCGTCCCGGTCAGGGTCGAATTTTACTAAAGGCTGGTAAAAGTATTCCTGTGTCTCGGCGATATTTCTCGTCAAATTGCAATTGAAATTGTGTGCGATATTTTTCAATAATTTAAAATCAAATAATTGCAAATGATTGAAAAATATTGCTTGCAGTCATGGCGGAGTTGTGTGATTTTATATTTATTGGCGATTGCTTTGTGTCGTGGCTTTTGATAAGATGAAATATCGTTAGCTGACTGAAAACGTTATTAAACGGAGCATGTACTTCTATCAGGAATACTTTTACACGATCGAGGTCGGCCGCCTCGGAAACGTTTTTTTTTATCTGTATTGTCGCTTGTTTTGTATTTTGATGTCCTGTTTCTCTGAAATCACGCTTGCAGTGAGTAAAAGGAGCGTACCTCGAAAAATTCTTCTACGAAACTTTCGCTCGCCGAACGCGACCGTGTGATGTAACGGCGATAATTAATTTACGCGAGTGTGCGTGCGTCTCGAAAGACTTTTTCGCGGGGAGTTTTTTTCTTGTTTAACGGTCGATACTTTACATAGTTAGCGTGATTTATATGCCGCTGGTTTTTTTATGCGATAAAGTTTCGCTTAACGACCGCAAACCGGCGATTGAAACGTTAAACTCTTGAATTAATCTTGTTGTTTACTTTCGATACAATGTACGCGATATCGCCACGCTTGGATCTAATCTAATCGAGAAGTTTTCATCTTAATCATTAAGTTAATCGTTAATATCATCTGAATCATTAAGGCTTTTATCTCAATCATTAAACACAAATTCGAATCTCATTAAGTGCTTCCAGCAAACAACAACTCATCACGCTCGGATTTATCGAGCTTGTTTGCTTATTTTTTTCTTTTTAATTTCAATTATATATCTAAATTTTAATTTCTCGCAATAAAGTAATTATTGTTAGCGCGGAATCGTTTTAATGATTCGCAGCTCGAGATAAAGTTCAATTAAATTATATTGCGAACGAATGATGAAATATCATCGAGCACGCGCTCTATCCACGTCACTCGATCGCGCGTCGAAGATCATCGAGCGACATCGAGACCGATCGGGGAAGCGCCGAAATTACTCACTGCAACGAGTTTGCACGCGCCGCTCGTTAAAGGCTTCGCCTGTCAGTCTCACTGCATCTGCACGACATCCATCTCCCTCCCCCCTCCCCCCCCCCCTCCCTCTCCTCCCGCCAAACTCACATCCTGGCAAACACCGATCCGCAGCCCCGTACACAATGCGGATTATAATTTGCGGGAGAGCGCTCGCGGCTCTCGCTCGTCTCCCGCTAAATAGAAAACTTAGGAGAAGCGAAGAAAATGAAGGACGCCCGATTACTTTTCCGCCAGGAACACAGGTGGGAGAAAAAAAGCCCGTGAGATATACGATTCGGGACTGCGCTCCGACTGATTAGGAATTAAAAGCGCGGCCGTCGGATCAGCGCGGATTATCACGTCGCGGTGATCGCGCGCGCGCGCGCGTCCTTTTTTTTATCCCTCCGAATTCAAAAATCGTTGTAGGATATAGATCCTCTTTTTTTTTTTTCATACCTTTATGTCATCCCCGGATTTTCAGGAGCAAGCATTCGCGTCAATCGTTCGTTCATTTTAACGTTTCGGAATTGGACGCGGCATTGGCAGGAATGAAAAATTTGAATGCGGACGAAAATCAATCTTTGAAGCCCGTTACACCGATGCACGCGCCAGCCGCGAAATCGGATTTGTCAAATCCAATATCTGCATACGTGTACGTTATGCATTTTAATTTAACGCTCGTGTCGTTTCATTTGTAAATGCAAATTATTAATCCGCAAAACGGACACGGAAAAGGAGGCGACGTCGCGTATTATCTTTCATTCAACGTAATATCGTTGCAGGACGTTAAAGGATTTTTTTCTACAATCAATGCAGAATATTGTATTTCGCGAAGTATAACTTCTCGAATTTAAGGTTGGAAAATCAGTCAGGTATAAATGGTATTTATTCTGTTCGATTTCGTTGGACTGTAGTGTTTTCTTTATTTCGATGATTCTCAGTATTTGCTAAACTGGAGATGACGTCACCGTTTATATTGCCAGCGAGCTCTTTCGTCTTGGGCAGCAGTACGCTTGCCCGACGAAAGCAGTGCGCGACGAAAGTTTCCGACACTATAATCGTTCGAAATTTCATAAGTTAAATTATAGTTAATTCAGTGAAGTTACCGCCACAATAGAAGATAATTTGGATTTAAATCATAATGGAGCACTCGAGAGCCTTTTAACGTCACGTTTACCGAATTTATAAAAATTAAATACAGCGGCGTATTTTCAATTCATAACGTTGCAAAAGAGTTGCGGCGCGATGATAAAAGGCACATCCTAATAATAATGTACGCCAAAAATTTTCAACTTGAGAACAGTTTGAAACTGATGAGTTAAATCATAAGTGAATTCAGATAACATCGCGATAGAAGACACGTCGTAAATAGCATCATAATGGAAAATAATAATCAATGTTTTAATTCTGTGTTTCGACACATGCGAGACATACACGCAGTGTATCTTATCGCTAGATGCAATCCTCACAACGCAAGAATATTGTATTCATTGCTCTTTGCTGAGAGGCCTTTGCCACAAGCGCATATGTTCCAAATAGTAAATTCACATATTATATTTTACAGCGGGGTGTACGCATATTTATGCATTTTAGAACCTTTTTTCTAAGAATTGTTCGGAAGTATCAATTAAATATTCTACTGACATTTTGTATACTTACCAGCAGTTTGAAAATATTATCTCAACGTTCTGCAGATAGCTTAAATCCGTTTTTTCCGACAAGAGCGTTGAAAATTTCTGCCGCGAGAATAGTTTGACAGTGATGAGTTGAATTACAGTGAATAAGTTGACGCTACGATAGAAGATAATTCTTATTGAGGTGGACAGAATCATCTTTTTTTTTTTCAAGCTTCAAGAATTTCATGAAATGCGCGAGGTGTACGCATTATATAGATCCAATTCTTACAGCGTAAAAGCGTTGTAAGCGATGCTCTTTCCTCGAAAGCCTCTACCGCAGCCGCATATTTAGCATATCACATTACAATATGCAACACAAAATATACCGAACTACTGTGTGAAAACATTTCTTAAGAATCGCTCGAAAATATTCTGCCGAAATCCCACGTTACGAACTTACCCGGCAAATTCATAAATATTATCGTTCTAAAGATCACTTTAGTCCATTCTTCCGACACAAGCAGTGCGCTTCGGAAATTTTTAACACGATCTCGCGATTGTTTTCATAAACATTTTAGTGTGTTTAGTGTGAAAATGGCCTCTGAAGAGCCTGATAATTATTCGATGGAAGAAATTATGGACATGTACGCGGTGTATATTTTGAGTGGATCGGACGATAATGCAGCGAGTGAGATGTACGCTTTACTTTTTCCTTTTAGACGATTGTCACAGCCGCATGTATATCGCAACGCGTATCACTTCTACATGCGATATATGATGTTAATATATCTTCAGCGTCAAGGATTTATCTAAATTTCTCTCACCTAAAGAAAATATATACACAGCATTCGTATAGAGAACGCTTACACCACAATACAACTATACATAAAAAGATCTCGTTGAAAACCTATTCAATTGAATAACATAGCAACATATCTACAGCATCATCGACGTATCACAATTAGGATTCATCTTAAAGTTATCGAGTTCTATCGAGGTCTTAAAAATTTGCTGACTTTTTCTATACATTTTCGAAACGTTCAAGAAATCGCTGTAGGTCGTTTGTTCTGCAGAAATGCGGCAATGCGCGTCGCAAACTGTCGCGGCAGTTTTACGGTTTTACGGTAGTTTGAAATAATAAGTCAATTCATATTTTTAGTGAAAGACATTCTCGAAGCACTTTTTTAATTTCACAGACGAAGAAATTATATATGAAAGAAATATTTGTACGGTGTTCGTTACATAAATATGGTGCACGAATAATAAGTATTTTTGTTCGGGAACTTTTCTTTATAGAATTCGCATTTTATAAAATCAAGTTTTTTCGAATTTTTAAATGAGATTATTACTTATATATTGAAATTAAATAGGTTTTTAATGATGTAAAATAAGTTATTTAAAAAGTCATTAATTAATTGCATTATACTTTCGAGAAAATATAAAACAATTAGACTTTTCCTTAACATAAGTTATGCTCCTTTCGCATAAAACAAATTTTTTGCGCAGTTGTAAGAAATCAATTTTTTTTTTTTTTCTGCAAAATGAGATTATGTTATGGGAAAAAATTTTCTAATATTATTCTTCACCAAACCAACGTTATTTAATATATTGGATTTACTGAACAAGCTTTATGTTTAATATTTCAATAATTAAATTAAAAAATTCAAAGTTCTTTCAATATGTAAGTAATGACTTGTAACACACGTTTGTGTTAAATAATTTTTGATATATAAATAAGAGCTGGTATGCCTTATTGTTTATTTTATTAATATTATATCGAAGACTGATATCCGAAAATTTATTTCGTTTCTTTATACTTTTGCAATTCTATAAATAGGCTTTCAAATAGGTTTTGCTTTGACGTGAATAAGGCCGCTTGAAAATTTCGACATGACATCGTAATAAAATATTCAAGCAATTTATTTATTTTTTTTTTTTAATAAAAATTAAAATTTTTATCCCGATAAATGTTTGCTGTAACTTTGGGACGTTCATATCACCACATTTCATCTGGGTATATAAATCTTGCGAGAAAAAAATTCAGTTCTTCAAACCATAGGAAACGAAGTTAAGCAAATTTGGATAAAGCGAATATTTACATTTTTATTTTCTTCATTATTTTTATACATTTTATACATGCTAAAAAATTATTACATGTTACAAAATATATAACCAGATATATATGCCACACGTATTTATATTTTAATATTTTTTTCTCTTTCTCTCTCTCTTTTTAAATCTTCTATTTAATGCAA